ATCATCTGTGTATAGGGTAGAGTACATAAGCACATATCATCTATGCATATGGTAATATATAGCACACATCATCTGTGTATAGGGTAGAGTACATAAGCACATATCATCTGTGCATATGGTAATATATAAGCACATATCATCTGTGCATAGGGTAGAGTATATAAGCACATATTATCTGTGTATAGGGTAGAGTACATAAGCACATATTATCTGTGCATATGATAATATACAAGCACATATCATTTGTGCATAGTGTAGAGTATATATGTACATATCATCTCTGGTTGCCATGAACAAAGTAGATCCCAGAGTAAAATCTAGTTGGCTCCAGTCTCTTTCTGAGTGAGATTTATCATGTTTAAAGTTTTATCTACTTTGCATACATCCTCCTGCCACGGGCATATGCTCTCCCAGGACCGAGTTAACAAACAAGACAGTAATTAAAATACACAATCCGTGTTAAAATGTCAGTTTCATCTTTCTTCCTGGCATGTAGAGAGACAGTCTGGCATCAGAGCTGTTCCCACCTGTCACTGGAAACACTCAAAACACAGAGAAAGATCACAACGTCAGTCAGTAAACGGCTCATTTTACACTGAAATTCACTTTTGATGTGATTGTGCCTTGAAAAAGCCACAAGGTGCTGCTGGTCAGCTAGCCTCCTTCTAGGAATATATGCCCAGGGATCCCTAGGACCATTTTTATGTAAAGGTAAATAAGGTTCCAGTCTAGCAACACGGAGCAGGGGTTGCCCAACAGGAACTCTGTGCTGATGAATTTCTGCCATTTCATTCCAACCTCAGCAAGTCAACCTTAGTACGCAGAAGGTTTCAGGTACTGGAATTAAACCAGAATGGCAGGAAGCCACAGACACGCAGGAGAGTGTTCAAATTCCCACACATGCCCATTCCCCCAGGGTTTGAAGGTCCACCTCCCAGTCCCAGCACACTTTTCCGGTTGGGAATAGCGGTGTGAAACTTCGGTTGAAGGACACACAGGAGAAACTCTGGCTTTTCAGATCATACCATCTGACAAAACTCCTTCTGTTAGTACAGCAAGAAGGCCGCCACAGGCATGTCCCTGATCAAGCGCGGCTGTGAGCCAACCAGAGCATATTTACAAAACTCCCTGGCGAGCCATATTTTGTCAGTGGTTCTCCCCCCAAAGCCACGCAAAACATACGACACGCAGGATTCGGTGCATTTCCAAACGTGTGTATTTTTTAGCAATTACCAGCTTTTCATTCCCCCACCACCTCCACATATTTGCAAAGGAGCCATAAGGCACACACCCCCCACCCCCCGCCGCCCCAGCCCCGCAATCCAAGCAATAAAAGTTATTATCTCTAAGGCACATAAGGAAATGGGCTCAGAGAGTTTCTGTGACATGCCTGAGGTTTTACTTTGAACAAGAAGGGCACGTGACTCCAGCCAATGTGAGATCATGATGTCTGTCTCCTGCCTCTTGCCAGGCAGTTTGCCCTTGTTAAGGTCATTCCCCTGGATGGAGTGAGCATGCTCTCTGGTGGTGTCTGGCTGATGTGAGTGTGTGCAGACACAGAGAGGCCTCTTCTCTCCTCGCCTCCTGGGGTCTGAAGCCTTAACCTTGATCTCACATTTGCACTGTTCGCCAGGCAAGCCCTGCCAACCCCTGCAATAAAAAGGCAAACACTGCCTTTGGAAGTAAAGGAAAGCTCGATGACCTCATTTAAAAGTAACATCTGTAACAATAAACAGGCTCTAGGAAGCTATTAAAAGGGAGCCAATGGGACCGGGAATGTTTTAAAAATAAATCAGAAGTCATACAGCGCGTGATACATTTAGTCTCACCACAAAAGATCATTCTGGATCCTCACAATCATTCTTGCACTGAGTGTAACAGGCAAGGGTTCTCAAATTCTCCTTCTCGGGAGTCCTTTGGCATATGATTAAATTTCATCCATTATCTGGTACTAGCAGAGGAAGATGAATATGAAGGTAATGAGACCCCCAGGACCTAGAAGTAATCCATCAACATGGAGCATGTATAGCTAAGCAGGCCCCTCTCTGGCCTAGATGCAGAGGTGAAGAGAGCCTTATTAACTGGGATAGCAACCCAGAGG